ATTATTATTATTATTATTATTATTATTATTATTATTATTATCATCATCATCATCATCATCATTGTTGTTGTTGTTGTTGTTTTATTGTTATCTATAATTTATACAATTAATCTCCCTGTGGTTTAACTCTAGTTTTGTCGAATTATTTATTACTTCGACACTCCTGCACTTGAGAGGATATCAATCTTTTAGTCATGTAAACATGATAAAAATTAATTGTCTTGTCCAATCCATTATTCTCCATCATGCCAAACATTATATAAATGAACAACTATTTTGAAAAAGTGATATTTAACTATTACTTTTGGGTGACTAGTTTGCTATCTTTAAAATTATTGAAATTTAAGAAAATGACATTAATGGATTCAACATTGAACCAGATGTTGTCAAATACAATTTAGACCAACTAGTTTTATAAAAAAAAAGTGAATTAGACCATAGGTTAAGCTTGATTCATGAACTAATTGTGTTATCAAATGGATTGTGCAAACCCAACTACATGTTTGATGGTGTAATGACTTGTTTGCTACTTGTATTGTGTTTTAATTATAGTTTTAAAACCTAAAATGACTCGACTAGTCAAATTGGGATCCAACCAAACCATGTTGAAACTTGACTAACTTAGTTAAAAAGTTAGGTTGATTTGATGACCAAGACACAACTCGGTCAAAACTCGACCATCAACCAATTTACTATTCTTTTGTATTTTTATATCAAAATAATGTAGTTTTAAATTGTTTTTTTAACATTCTAGATCAATTATTCTAATCTGTGACTTGAGTCTTACCTCGATTCAATCCTAGATTAAGTTTTAAAATCATAATTTTAATGGATATAATGTAATGAAATCCATATTTGATAACTAATTAGTGTACTTTCATAACTTATTATCAAACATATAATAATAAAAAATAGACTAGCGAGGTAATTTGAGGACCTAGATCTGTTCGGGTTGAAAACAATATAAGAAGTACAAAACTTGGTTGACTTGATTAAAAGTCTAGGTTAATCTGATGACTTGGTCAACCCCGTCAAAACCTAACCCTTAATTCATTAATTTTATTTTTAATTTTTTATCAAGTTAATATTTTTTAACTTTTTTTTTAATATAAGGTACTAGCCTATGACTATGGTCTTGTTATGTGTTGACATCCAAATTAGGTTTTACAACCATAATCAAATGGATGTTGTGCTTCTTTGTAAAAATAACTTTTTTAAAAGTATTTTTTTCTTTTTTTTAAATAAAATAAACCTTAATTAAATATTTTTTAAATAAAAAAATAAAGTTAATATATTATAAAAACACAATAATACGAAACAAATACTTTGTTAAAACATGGTAGAAATTGTGTTGTTTAAAAACTATATTCAATAATCATTGTCTTTTTTTATTTTATTTTTAAAACTATTTCTCAAAAAATCCTTAAGAAAAAGCAAAATTTTTAGAGAAAGACTGTTTCTTAATTAGAAAAAACTTAATTTTAAAAAGAGTAGAATTTGTGCAATTAAAAATAAATTGTTAAGTTTTTTTAATGAAAACTAGACAAATTAATTAGAAAAAAAATATAGATTTTAAAGAAGATTAAAAAAAATATTATCTTAAATAACTACATCAAAATATGTAGTTTATGGCTATAAATATTTTATAGTGAAATAGTATCGGCTTTACTTATTAAACATTAAACATGATGTTTTCAACTATTTAATTTTAATTTTTTTATAAACTAAGACAATAATACTCATATATAAAGGTGGAAGGATTAGGTTTTCTTTGAATTATTTTGCATAGCCCTAATATAAATCTTGTAAATATAAAATCATTACTTTGCATAATAAATTCTACAACAGGTCGAAAATAAAAATATAAGTAAAATTTTTTAATGAAAAGATTGAAGCAAAGCCATAAATTAATTTATTTTTCATCAAATAAAACAAGATAGCTTAAATTTAAAATCTATTTTTATTTTTTTAGATGTTTGTTAATAATTTAATGAGTTTTTTTATATATAATTCTACTTGTTTTGCTTCATTTTTTTCTTAGATTTGCTAGTTTTACTAATTGTTTTTTAAATTCTTGTTATAGTGCTTTTTTTCTTCTAATTAATTAGATATATTTTATTGATTTGTTTTTATTATACTTAGATTTTTTTAATGTTTTGTTTTTAGCAAAGCTAAAATTATCAATTTTTTCTTACGATAGATGTTTTAATTTTAGATTGAACCATGAACAAAATCAGAAGAATTTGACATTTTTTTGAGAAAAAAATATTGATAACTTACAGGCTAATAAACCAACTCTAATGTGTAATGTTAAAGTTATAGTTGAGCAATTCCAATGCGCTTCAGTTTACAAAAAACTCACCTTGATTAATGGGAATCATTCTTTTATTATTTTTTGTTTTATTTTAAAGTTTATCGAACATAATAATGTTTTGATTTAGTTAATGTTTCTTATATTTTTTGTGTGTTTATATTTTATAGATATAAAAATCAACGATATTAAAATGATGAATATATTATAAATATGAAATTAACTTTGTTGCTTTGACTTAATTTGGTATTGATTCAAACCTTTTATTTTATACAAAGATTATTATATGTTTATAGTAAGTTATTTGAATAAAATAAAATTATATAGTTTTTTTTATAACTCATGTACAATAAATTAAAATAAATATTATATCTTATTATATTAATTTTAACTCTTACTAATAAATAATTCTAGCTTCATTGCTGCTCACATGAACCTCCACTTAGAGTTTCATTTACTTCTCAAGATTATGTTTATTGTGATCCTCAATAATTTTTAATTTTTTAAGTGCTTTAAAGAATTCAACTATTTCAAAATCTTCAAAAAAATTAGCACATTTCTTACTGATATAAATAATCAATTTATTTTTCCTTTCCAAGTTTATCTTCCTTGATTACGGTTTGGATCACCTAGACTTGATATCTTAATTTATCATGGTTGCAATCCAGATCAACTTAATTATTGGTTGCTTATACGTTTTGTTTCTTTTTTCATACAATATTGTTGCATGGATCTCTCTACTAATCATGTCTATAATATTATCTGTCATTATATGTTCCTTGATTCTTCCTCTTCTTATACCAAGTCGATTTTCTTAGTTTCCTCTGTATCATTATAATCCTTGTTTTTCTATTGTTATACTATAGATTCTCCATGGATTTGCCTTCACATTTCTACTCCATAACCATTTTTTTTTAGCTGTCCTTTGCCTCACCTCCTTCCATTTTATATCCCTGTCGTAGAACTTCTCATACTTCTCCATCTCCGATCCCTTTTTCAGTTTCTATATCTGGTTATTCATTTCACTTTGGGACTCTACTCACTACTTACAGTCTCAATTTTATCACGATGATATTCTCCTCTGAATCTCCCACCATTTACTTCTATATGTACACAACCCTATAACCATTCAACCATGCATGTCAATCCACACACTATCCTATCATCGTGTAATTCCCTAGCCATGGTTACTTCACGTTGTTTATTTGAACCTACTTGTTACACTAATACAGAATCCCATCTTGAATGGAATTCAACAAATATTAAATGGATTATGGATATATATTATATGTTAGTGGTGCACTCGTACTTGTACGAGTGTAATTTCTTCGTGAAAAAATTGGTTCAAGTTAATAACAATAGTAAAATAAGTATCTTTATTTATGCTCAAATAATCTCTAGATTTTTTTAATAAAATTTTGAATATATTTATAATCAAATCAACTAATAGTTTTTCAAAGGATTTTTTATATATAATATAGAGTGTTTTGTATCTTCAGCTATTTTTATATATTGGATTATTTTTCTCCTAGTCTTTTTACAGGTTTTCATACTATATCAACGTTAACGATAGTGATGAATATTTTTTATTCTTTATGTATTCAATAGGTTAATTTTCTTTATTTAATGCTAAATATTTCAAGTAATATATTTGAATAAAGTCTCTTATGAGAAAAATTTGAAAATTTAAAACATTATCATCTTATGGTATGGATGGTTTCACTTCAATGACTGACTGGTCTTAAGTTTATAATTAAATCTTATGGTAACATGTTAGATGTCGATAAATGGATTATTTCACTTCATGATTCTCTAGTTTTATATTTATATTTCAGTGCAATCTTAATTAATTTTAAATTTAATATTATATTTATTTTTTATGAATGTAATGTTTTTATTTGTAGCAATTTTTTTAAAAAATTTTAAGTGAATTTGTTTTTAATATTTGATATCATATGTTTGATGAAGAGAATCTATCTCTATAATTGAGTAAATTATAACTAATCTTTAGTTTGGTATTATATCCATTTGTTTGTTGGTTAATAGAAACTATTTATCTATAGATTTTTTTAGTTTAAGCTTCTTTAGTATTTTATATTTTTTTATTGATTGGATTAAAAAAAGGTAAAGTGAATTTTCCTTTGTATGGTTTTTTATTTACAAATTTGTAAAAAGAATATTTTTACATATAATTTTTTATCATAAAATATTTATATGTAAAATAATTTTTAATGATGGTGATGGAGGAGATGGTGGTGGTAGTGAGATACCAATGATGGTGCTGATGAAAAGGGAGGTCATGGTGGTGGTTATGAGGGTGGTCGTGGTGAAGATGAAGAAGGAGGTCATGAGATGGTGGTGGTGAAAGAGAAAGTGGTGGTGATAAAATGACAGCAGTAATGGTGATTGTTTGTGGTGGTGAAAGAGAAGGTGATTATGAAGAAGAATATGATGGTGGTAAGATAGGAGTGATGGTTGAAATAGTTAGATGATATGGTACAGAAATTATTATTTTTAAAATAATTTACAAAACATTATGAGTTAAAAATATTTTCCAGCAATAGAACTAAGTTTGTTAATTATAAAATATTTTCCATCACTTAATTTTTCTATAAAATATTTTATGAGAAATAAATAAAAGATAATATTTTATGATAAATAATTTATAAAAACAAACATAAAAAAATTAGGAAAACATTTTCCTGTAAAATATTTTATGCAAAACAAACAAACTTTAATTATATTATTCTTTTCAATTAATTATCAAAACAAATTTTTTACATACTTTTTAAAAATAAATCACAAGAGAATTTTGTCTAGGAAATGAATTAGTCTCGATGTCTACACTTTGTCAAGGGGCTGACCTACTTTTTTCCATAAAAAATGATATTTAGATGTGTAAAATGTGTTTTAATATAAATAGACAAATATATGACTCTATCATAGCTCTAACTGAGTCAAATAAAATGGTTTTATTTTAGTTAGACAAAAACAAAATAATAGAAAAGAGTAGTGGATTGATCAATTTTTTTAAAAAAAAAAAGTGATTAGGATAACCTAGAAAAACATATTTTTTTTCTAAAAGAAGATAAATAATTAAGTTACAATCCATTAAATATGAAATAAAAAAATGATTCTGATCAATTTGAGTTAGCATGACAAACTTGTAACTTCAGTAATTATGGCCAACCCAACCTGAGATATTCCTCCAAATCTGTGGCCTAAATCATGAGATTAGAATAACCTGATTAAATAAAAAAAAAAAATTTAAAATATATATTAGCTTTTCAAACTTGTGATTCAGATCATTAGACTCAAAGTACTTTATCTAGGAAAATCATGAAGGATGAAATTAAAAAATGAATTTCAATTATACAAAAAGAAAAAAAAATATATCAATTAAAAGGATGAGGTTCAAAATTAAAATAAAAAATAAATCTCATATTTGATTAAAGGGTGAAATTAAAAGAAAAGTAAATTTAGCAAAATAACAATAAAAATCAAAAGAAAGAATGAATATCAAAATTGACATAGAAAATAAAAATAATTTTTTTATTGAAAAGAATAATAACTTTTACAAAGAGGCTACTAAAAAAATAAAAATAAAAATAAATAAGAACCAAAATGAAAACATAATACTATCAATTTGGATTAAAGGATGAAATTGCAAATCAATAAAACTTTTACAAAGAGGGCAATGAAAAATATAGAAATCAAAAGAATAAAGAGCAAATCAGAAAATATAATATTTGATAATTTGGGATTGAAAAAAAAATTAAAAATAAATAAAACTTTTATAAAAAGACCAAGAACAAAAATTAAAAGAGTAATGATTGAAGTTGAAATACAAATAACAAAAAGAGTCAAGTTGTAATTCTCGAGGGAGGGGGAAAAAAGAAAAAAGGATCCATTAACATCTAATCATACAATTCCCATCAACACGTGCCCTCCACTAAAAAGAAAATATGACGGCGCTTCCAACAATACAATAAAAAGTATTTTTGGATGTTAGAAGATGTCAAATGTGTCACTAAAAGTGTGTAAGCACCTCCCACGTGTCTTTAAATGTAATACATGTGATTTTTTTTTTTTGTGTTTTTGTTATATTTAGCTAAATATAAAATTACCCTTGAACTAATATGATGATAAAAAAAAACTTTTATAAAAAGATGAAAAAGCTTTTTAAAACTAGTTTTAATTTTTTTTACTATAAGAATATTTGATTGTTTCACTGTGATTTTGATTTTTATATTATTTTTATATTTAGTTATATACAAAAGTATCCCTCACCTTATATAATAACAACAAAAAAATCATTTTGCAAGAACTAAACTGTCCTTTAGTGCTACTATTGATATTTTTATTTTTAAAGATATTTCAATCATTTTAATATATTTTTAAAATACAAAAAGATTTATTAATCTATGATTATTTTGGTAATAATGAATATATCATTTGATAAGATTTAATATTTCCAATAGTTAGTTTAAGGGTGTGTTTAGGAATATGATGTAAATTTAAAATATATTTTTATTTTTTTATTGTTTTGATATGTTGATATTATAAATAATTTTTAAAAAAATATTTTAATATATTTTTAAATAAAAAATATTTTTAACTGTTATTATTACCATAATCCCAAAATATAGAAGACACTCAAAACTTCCAGGTTAGAAAACCAAAATCATCATTGTACTGTTTCAAAAGACAATGTTTGTAAATCTGCATCCCAGTGCTATTTAGCATTTTTTTAATTGCTACACTAACAGTACTTTTGGATGGAAAATGAAATTCACATAATAACGAAGGCATTTTCTGAAACATCAATAGTTTTAAATGCTTTCTATTAGAATTAAGAAGGAAAGAATTTAAGAACACCTTAGTGGTAAACAATTTCAGTAATAGAAGGTGGAGATGAGAAAAAAAAAAAAAAAAATCTTAAGGATGTTTTCTCAAGATGTCAAGGAACAAAAGCAGAACTAGAAATTTAGGATTAGAGGGGAAAATAAGAATATAAATGGTTTTTGAGGTTTACATGTGCTTTTTTATCCATTAATATGCCACTGAACTTTATAATACGTGAGACAAGAAGACCAATTATTATTTAGGTAAGTGATAAAAGCAATAAGGAACACAATTATTATAATGAATAAAGAGAAATTATATACATACATACACGCCCCAAAATCAATAATTTCCTCCCTCAATTCTTCGGCTCTCTCTCTCTTAAAAATAATAATAAGAAAAACAAATCTGATTCTATTTTGATAAAAATAAAAAATACAAAAAAAAACTAATAAATAAAAAATACAAAAAACAAAAACTAATAAACCCTAGTTCTACCTAGCATTTTTGCCCCGTTCTCTACCACCCTTCTTTTCTAACCATATGATTGGACTTCCACTTACACCCCAGAAGAAAGCTAGCACATTACTAGCTTCATCATTCACTAAATAGTTACTTAAGTGCTTTTTATGCAAAATTAAAAATTAATCTATTATATATCATCCTTGGCCCCTTAGTTCTTAAGAAGAAATAAAATAAATAAATATACTTATAAATCCAATTGAGTCTCTAACTTTTTTAAATCACTATTTTATAAGGGTTGTTGGGTGCTGATACAAATTATTTATAATCTTCAATCATAATTATTTCACAACACACATAAAAAAAATAAATTAAACTCTGTTACCAACTCACACATATGCAAGCAAAGGATAATAATGTTTGTTAAAAATCAAAACCCTCACACATATGGAAGCAAAGGATAATAATGTTTGTTAAAAATCAAAACCCTCAAAGATTAAAAACTCTATAATTATAAAGAGACATCCAAAATATATAATTTTAATTTATTTCAATCTCATGTGACAAAAGGATATTACAACCTTACGAGCACGCGCGCTTGTGTAAAGAACTAAAAACTCTAATAATACTAAATAAAAAAAAATATTCCCTTCAATTAAAAAAAAAAGAATAGAAAAGAATAATAGTGCAACATGAAAAAACAATCTCTTAAACTAAAAAAAATAACAAAGAAAAATATATTTAAAAAAAAAGTTGATGCATCAACAAATCACAAAACTTATCCATTTAGCATTTAGAATATATGAAGGTGTTTAAGTGTATTGAGTCTGAAAATTTATACTCTTATGGAAAAATAGAAAGATTTTAATATGCAAATATGAGTATGATTTAAAATTAATGATTTAAAGTTATTTTTTCTCTTAAAATAACTTTTATGTGTGTATTAAATGTTTGTATTTAATTCCATATTTATACAATCTATATATGTGTTTCTAATAAAAACTATAAAGGTGTTTAACTGTATTGAGTCCGAAAATTTATACTATTGTGAAAAAATATAAAGATTTTAATATGCAAATATGAGTATGATTTAAGATTAATGATTTAAAGTTATTTTTTCTCTTAAAATAACTTTTATGTGTGTATTAAATTTTTGTATTTAATTCCATATTTATACAATTTATATATGTGTTTCTAATAAAAACTACTTGTTTTGTAACTGTTATTATTCCTCTAATAGATAAAATGATTGACCATTTTAGATTATTCAAGACAATTGGTTGATAGGTTTCTGTAAATTTTTAAGTGTTCATCCCAAATGATCGACTAGATCACTTGGTATGAACAAGCGGTCAACTAATTCAACTTATTTAATTTATCAAGGATAATGAATTATTTATTCATTACTTAAATATCTCCATATAGATTATGTTATATACAATATTTGTCTATTTGTTATCCTTGATTAGAATAACATGTAATTAATATCAAAACATAACACTTTATATACAAGTTAACTTAGTGATTTTAAGTTTAATTATCACTTGAACGTTTTCATAAAAATAATTAATCTTTCTATATAAAATTCTCTTACGATTCATTTCATTATACATAACATCTAACAAGCACCTACATATTAGTTTTAGGTATTTATTATATTTCATTTTATAAAAGCAACTTTTTCTTTTCATACGAGAATTAACATAATATACACTAGTCTTAGCAATTCATATTAATGTCTAAATTTTAATAAAACATTGACTAAAAACATTTAAGAATAATATTTTGATGTAATAAGAATCTTATAATTATGACAACTTTATAATTTGTTTTTTATTTTTTTTTTGTTTCATATACTTTATCTTTACTCTAAATTTATTAATCAAATATAATTAAATATTAACAATAAAAAAAGCCTTTATTAATAATAAATAATATATATTTATTAGTAAAACATTAGATTTGTTAATTAAATATTATTGAATATTAAAGATAAAAATTTTTAATAATAAATATATTTTACATGAATAAAATCTATTTCTAACTAAAAAAACCCCTTAATTAAGAGAATTTCTAATGTTCAAATTAAATAATGAAAACAAATAATCCAAAGTTAATAGGGTTTTGAACCATTTCATAATTTCTCATGCTAGAATATCTAATTAATTCATTTTAATTAACTTAATATGAACACAAATCTCTAAATTATTCCCATTAATAAGTTTTTATCTACCACCTCTTAAATAACAAATTAACTTCGCTTGATGAACGAGGATAAGGTTAACATTCTAAACTATTTTCCAACCACTTAAAAAAAAAAGAATGAGAATACATATCAATGTTAATTTGTTGTCTAAAATATTTTATAATATTTTATTATTTTTGTGTGTATTTTTTCTTTTTGTAAATTATTTTATAGAAAAATTGATCAAAATATAAATATTTTATGATTAACTTATAAACTTAATATGTCTATTAAAAAATATTTTCAACCTATAAAAGTTTATAAAATATTTTACAATCAATATTAATATTTAATTCAACTATTTTAACTATGGTCACTATCATTGTTATTCTATTTTGGCCGCCACTGATTTTAACTATGGTCACTATCATTGTTATTTTATTTTTGCCGCCACTATCATTGTTATTCTATTTTGGCCGCCGCAACTATTATCATAGTTAGCATTACACTATAACCACTACATCTTTTACTATTATCACTCCATAACCACCATCTCCACTCATATTATTTATTCCACACATATAAAAACTACAATTATTTTTTTATTTTTCATAACCACCATCTCCACTAATATTAGTATTAGTATTACTGTCATAGCAGCAATCATCATCATTCTAAAATTAATATATTTTTACTTCACCACTTACTAAAAATTATAAAATATTTTTATATTTGTGGAATAAATATTATGCAAAACAAGCCCTTTTTGTTAACCTCTTTTAATTTTGATTTTTTTTAAAAAATTGAATCCTTTAATTCTTGTCCAAACACATTTTTAATAAAAATATAAATTCTAGTGGCTAAGGCATGCCTTTTCTTTGGACTGGATAACATCAACAAGATCGATACTTGAAAAGGGTTTTCTCTATTAAAAAAGCAGATGAGGGTGACCTTTTTTTTTCTTGTTCTAATTCCGATGTTCTTAACATTTTTCTATCAGCTTTCTTTTCTTCATACTGTTCTTGACATCGGATGAACTTCTATCAGCTTCTCTATCTCTTTCGCATCAGAATTCAAGAAACATTTCTGAACATCGGATGAACTTCTATCAGCTTCTCTATCAAGAAACATTTCTGAAGATTCATCTGTATAATGTCATGTCATTAAGGCATTATATGAATTCATTGTAACAGTGACTGTACTGAGAGCATTACGAGACAAACCAATAGAAGCTATGAAAATGCCAACTTTCGTCGTTAGTTTGTCTTTTCCCACTCTTCTTTTTATATTGGCATAATTCAATTCTGTAACTTTTTATTTTATGTTTTTTTCAAATCAAAGGGATATTTGACCGTCATGTAGCCTTGCCTATACAAATATGTCAAGATATCGAGAGCTAGTATGATGCTTTGTAAAATTAAGTAACGGTTTATCAACCAAGAATAATGCATACAAGTAGAAAGAGGCATGGGGAGAAGAGCAAACAATATTAATTAACGAAACACACATGAGATGTAATCCAGTTTCTTTAGAAATGGTAAGATTTTTGGCCCACAAAAAAAGAATTGATCCGTATCATTTTAACTTGATTTTGGTTATTTTTTTAAATATTAATTTAAAAAAAAAAGATCTTCTCTTATTTATATTAAATATAACATGATGAGTTAAATGTTTTTTGATGTAAAACATACTTTATTTAATATAAAACTTGTTTTATTTAGATCAGGAAATCTTTTTTTTTGGATAGATTATGAGTGGTTAAAAGCTGAAAGGATAAAAAGGTAAAGAGGTTAGGAAGTTTGTGTGGAGTGAGAGCAGGAGAATAAGAGAGTTTTAAGTAATAATTTTAATTAGCAAAAGATTAGAAAGTCAACAAAATGTTCAGAAGATCTCTTCGCAATGCTATGAGACTGGTATTTGTAGTAGAAGGAGATGGTATGGCACTATGGTATTCATGTTTGGATGATTATATTTGAATTAAGAAAATGTGTTATTTTAGGATAAAGTTTTTCAACTGATAAGAAAAGATACAGAGACATATAAAGTGTTTGTTTATAAGGTACATCACAATGCAAACCTTACAAAAAAAAAACATATAATTTATGTTCTTTTTGGACATAACACACCTCAAATACATCCTAAAAGAAGCAATAATTGGAATTTCCTTTAGCAAATATTGCTATGAGCCCCCCAAGCCAATTTCTCTGATTTATCACGTCGATAAGGCATGCACACTGGTTCTATCATTATACATATGTGAATCCGTGCGCGACTTGAACCTTTTGCCAAGCAAAGCCCATCGCTAATACGTGTAATATATATATATTACATAAAAAAATAAATTACTTAACTTTCAATCAAGTAATTATATATATATATATATATATTACATAAAAAAATAAATTACTTAACTTTCAATCAAGTAATTATATATATATATATATATATATTATATAAAAAAATAAATCATATATCTCTAAAT